CCCCAAAACCCCAAAACCCCAAAACCCCAAAACCCCTATATTCTAAATTATAATTGATAATGTCCGAAAAAGAAGACTTGAAACAAACTTTAAATACACAAAGCAACGACTCCTTCTATCCTACACAGCAGGAATGGGATCAATATAGCAGTGACCAAAGATTGTCCTCTATCCATGATTGCTTGCTCGAAATGTACCTCAATCTGAAACTTCGAAACTTCAATGAAGTAAGCTAAATTTTGAATTAGGAAATACTAGACATGTTGCACAGTGTTTTCTTGTGAGCTACAACTATAAGAGTATTCTATAATATATTCATAAATCTGAAAAGAACCTGTTAAGAATGATCAAAGCTGCTCATCCCTCTAGCTCAAAGCATCTAAGGTAATGATATAGAAAGAGGCAACCATCGATAGTGAAAAGGTGGACAAAGAGTTAGATAAACTTAAGAATATAAACTCAATCCAGCTGATTGGTAAATTCTTTTCTAACCATTCAGAATATATCAAGTCTTCAATAGAAATAATAATAAGAATAAAGTTAGAAGAATCTGAAAATAAGGTAATTTATTTCAAATCTCTAGTCAAAATAAAATCCCAAGTGACTCCAAAAATGCCACAAATGAATCTACCCAAGTTCCTGAAGAGTACGAGGAGATCATACAGAAGTTAGAAGCTGAAGTTCGCAACCACATCTCTGTATTTCAACTGGTTTATCTTCATAGGTTCAACAGCAGATGAAACTATACATTGAGAGCTATCAGTCTAAGATAGAAGAGCTTGAGAAATTTGAAAAAGAGTGCGACCTCATGACTCAAGAGATTGCTAATCTGAAGACAACTAATACAAAATTGGATAAAGAACTTGACTCCTACAAGTGTATTCACAAGGAAAAGCGAGCTGAATGGAAACTCAAAGAGCAAGAATATGTTAATTCTATTCATAAATCTGATGCTAGAGAAAAGGTTCTTGAAGAGAAAGTTAAAGAACTCGAAACATTTTTGATGACAAATAAGAATATTCAGGATGATGGCCAAGGCCTTCGAGATAACCTCATACTACTAAAGGATGAATCACAGAAAAATACCAAAAGTAATAAACTAAAATATCTTCTCAAAGCAATCCCAAGTGGAAGTACTAAAACAAGTAGTAACGAAATTCAGGATACGCTGATTTCATTTTCAGATCTGTCTACTAAAATTCCTGAAAAATCTAAACCAGGCTCAATGAAGAAGAAGAACAATCCTTACAAAATAGAGTATTTTAAGAACAACAAGGACTCATGAAAGCTGTCGTAAGTAGTTGAACCCTAACGATAAAGGTTTACTCAGAAGTCATGCCACCATAGTTCAATCGATGAGAATCACAAAAGGAGCAAATCTCACACTACTAATAGTCTGAAACCAACAAAAATATGAAAGTCACAGGACAAAACTTTCTTTATTGGTATAGTTTGGTTTATACCTATAGATCCTAATAACCAGAGTGCAGCGAATGCCAGAAAGAGCTATAACTTGGTAAATGAATATTTGGAGAATCCTAATAAGCAATTTGAGTATTACCTTGGAACACATAAGAGAGGTAGTGGTACATCACTCACGAAGAAAGATAAGGTGATAAATTACCCAGGCAAACAATTCATCCAAGTTCAAAACATGCATATGAGTAAGAAGAGGTTAGGTAGTAAGAATATATCTGGGCCCAAAAAGATCAACTTTAAGTCTTTTGATCAGAGAAGAGCGATGACCAAAGTTGGGCAGAGAGAGCATTCCTTAGACGATCCTCCAAATTATTCCTATTCAAACCCTCTCAGATCATCTAGTGTCTGTCATAAGAAGAGTATGAGTAACGATAAACTACATTCTGGTCAAAGAAATAAGGCCACAAAGACTAGTATGCAATGTAATGAATTCATTATAGCAAAATCAACTTCTCACAGAGGAAAGAAGATCAAGCAGAGATCTCAGATGAGTGCTATACAGAAAGCTTCTACTGCTCAAGGAATGATAAGCCTGATCAAAACCTGAAAAAGCAAATCTCAGAATTATTAATCATTCTATTTAAAAAAATATAAAAGGGGTTTTGGGGTTTTGGGGTTTTGGGGTTTTGGGG